GTGGTCACATGACTTGCATGATGCACCACAGTCAGAAAGAAGACCGTGTTGCAGTTTACCCGATAGAGAATTTGATTTGGCTAGAAAAAAGTAAAATATTTAGGGTTTGGTCAACCTGGGCCAAAACAAAATATTTCATTTAAATTTCGCTGGTGGAAAATTGACAAAATTCAAGTTTGCAGAAATTCCATTTTCTGTTGAAAAACATTTAGACTGGAAATCCCAGATGAGGTGCAACATCTATTTTGATAATCATGTATGAGGATGAAAGTTACATCGAGAAAGAATTAAGACAATTTCTGAAGACTAAAATGTCCAGTACGTTGAGTGAATTCAGATCTGAATCTGAAAGTCAACTCTGTAGCTCAGGCCCATTTCTTGTTGAAATGCTGGGAATGAAAAACACGTGTTCAAATAGCACCCTTTCAGTAAAAATTTTCAGGGCTATGCAGCAAACAATTTAGAAATGTAGGTTCTGTTCTTTCAAAATCCTTTATATATGTAAAAATAGCCTAAAAATGTCTCATTCATATGGTCTTTGTACAGAAAACATAAATACTGAACTATGATAAGGAACTAGTTTCAATTCATTCTTACACCGGGCAGATACAACCCCCCCTTCCACTAATACCAAGAGGAATTGCACTGTTACCTCAACTCTGAATTTGGTAGTAAGACGCTATTCTTTGGCCCTATTTTGACATAAAGAGCACGAAGTGGATTCCCTCTTCAAAACGGAAATCTCTAGCAGTATAAGGCTGCCTTTGGAACTCCTGCACCATCTCTCTTTTGGCTTCTAGAAGAGATGGACTGATGAAGGGAAAGGGATTAAGGCAGATGTATCCATCTTTTACCCTGCCAATTTCCAGTATATAGAACTGCCTCTGGTGGAAGGATATGAGTAGCTAGCATAATTTCGCCAAGGGACTGGGCTAGTACGCAGAGACCCTAAGAACTAGGACAAGCAAAGGTGAAATAATGCCATCTATCAAACCCACGCTGCACCAGGTACGCAATGTCCAGACCAGAAAATCTGCTCCAGTATGTATGAATCAGGTAATGATATATTTGATGTCTGCTGCAAATATGCTCTATGACTTTTCATGTTATGTATGCTCTTCCCTGAATCTGTTTGTTATTCATTGACCCAGAAGCAACAAGCAGGGCCCAGGAACAGCATGTGGGATGGAAGGAGGTTTTGTGTTTTGGAAGGATGCCATGTGAGTATTTGGAAACCCTACCCTCATATTTTCCCCATTTTTTACATTGAGATTCCTTAAAATGACTAAATTGAATTTGCAGCACATTCACACAGTAAACTGCTAATTCCCTATAATTTAAGGTGGCTAATGGAGTAAAAGCCATAGTGCACATGACATACTGTAAGCAGTAGTAGTATCACCAATGGGTTTAAATCTTGGCTGCTCAGCCCTTTCCAGCTGTTAAATCTCCCCAAGTTTGCAAAATCCAAAAATATAGTCTTAGCCAAAAAAAAGAGGAGAAAAAAGCAGGTTTTGGCGTGAGGAATGGCTTGATAATTGAATCCAACCAGATGTGAATCTGTAACGGATTCTCTCTGAATGTAGAATTTGGCTACCTGCAAAGAACAGAGTTAAAACCTCTTTCTTTTCATGCAACAGGATCAAATAAGTTAGAAAAAAATAATCATTGGCCACTGAAACAGCAGAAAAAAAAATGCAGGCAAATAAAAAATGCCAAGTGGTCAATCTGTTTGTTGGCCAAATGTGCAGGAGTTTCAAAAACGGGGGCTGCCTTGTTTTGAAGAGCAGTCCAATGAGTTATCTGCACATGAAGTTGAAAAATGGGCATGTTTTTAAAATGTATAGAAACACCCCTTTGGCTACTACCTGAGAAGGATTTATGTATGCTCAACTATCTACTTCAGTAGAGTGTTTATGTTTGTTTTTTCATTGAGACAAATTCAGTAAAATGACAAACACAGTCAAGTCACATACATGGCAGAGGAAAGTTTAACTTCGTGGCAGTGCGATGCTATCCAAGGAATTTAACTCCTTGAAATTTGCCATTTTCAGCTGTAGGGGGAAGGCGTACTTCCAGCAAGACTGTTTAGTCAAATAGTACCAGATGCATGTGTGGGATTCACTTTATGCTTTGGATATGAATGAATGTAGTCAGCTAAGCATTTGTTAAAGACAATTATTTTGCTTAAAGAATTCTGGTCAAAATGTGGCTGATGTACTCAGCATGGCTGAGTCTCCTGCATTATCCCTAGGGGATTTGTGGCAATAGAAAGAAAGGAAAGCTTGTACAAAGTAAAATGCAGGACAATGTAGCACTTTAAAGACTAACAAGATGGTTTATTAGATGATGAGCTTTCGTGGGCCAGACCCACTTCCTCAGATCAAATAGTGGAAGAAAATAGTCACAACCATATATACCAAAGGATACAATTAAAAAAAATGAACACATATGAAAAGGACAAATCACATTTCAGAACAGAAGGAGGATGCAGGGGAGAGGAGAGGAAGGTAAATGTCTGTGAGTTAATGATATTAGAGGTGGGGAAACCCCCCCCCCCCCCCGCATCTTCCTCCTGTTCTGAAATGTGATTTGTCCTTTTCATATGTGTTCATTTTTTTAAATTGTATCCTTTGGTATATATGGTTGTGACTATTTTCTTCCACTATTTGATCTGAGGAAGTGGGTCTGGCCCACGAAAGCTCATCATCTAATAAACCATCTTGTTAGTCTTTAAAGTGCTACATTGTCCTGCATTTTGCTTCAGCTACCCCAGACTAACACGGCTACATTTCTATCACTATTGTACAAAGTAAGGTAGCATCGTGACAAAAGCAAGTTGCCCAAATGAATTTGGTGTGTGAGCGCATGCTTAAAAGCATCCCTGGGTATAGATGCTTTACTGAATAAGGGTCCTAGTGCCTGTGGAGTGTTAGTTCATTATGAATATTTCCCAATTAAACACAAATAAGCTTATATCAACTTTTTCCATTTCCCCCCCGTGATTTGGATCAGTCGGTGTTACCTAGTGCTCCATGCCAATGCAGCATCCGATGACATATCCCAGAAACTCAAGAGAGGTCAGCCAAGTTTTGATTAAGTTCTAGTTTTTTCTGAAGAAACAAAATATTGATAGGCAAGGTACCATACTACAGAGTTTCTATATCCTTGCTCTTGGCAAGATAGTCTTCCCACAGGTTCGGCGAAATGAGTTTTTCTTCATGTGTGTGCTATATACTCTCAATCCAACATAAAGACCTCATTCATATGTTGAATTAAAAACAGCAGGGCCAAATCCTGCCCTCTGGAGCTAATAGACTTCAGAAAGCTTTCCAGGGGGTTACAGAACAGAATGTGGTGCAATTAATAGAATGGCAATGTACATATTTTATTGCAAGACTGATGTTGTACTGTTTATTTAAAAAATGGATCTGTCATGGATTTTTAAAGGTGAGAATCATCCACAGAGAAATGAAAATGGATTGTGTTGTTTTTTAAACATACAAGCAAAATGCACTTTGTAAGTTTTTACAACTATTTTCCAGGGAAATAATTGCTCAGTTCAGACCCACTATTATTCAGAACAGAGCAAAACAAAACAAAAAACCCACACTGGTGAAAACATTAAAAAAAAATTAACAACCACAACACACATACAAACACAAGGTCAATCTCGTAAAGGAAAGATTTCCGCTTGCATTTTTTATTTTATGAATACGTATACAAGAGATGCATAATCTTGCATTATCCAGGCTTAAAAGTAACAGTTCTTTTTTTTCCAAAATAGCTTAAAGAAGAAAAATAAAAATTAAGGACAAAGGAGGTGCAAAATATTCAAAACATACAGTTGATTATCTTGATAAAGTTATTGCAGAAATGCAAACTGTGTGAGTGGAAGGAGGGGGTTCAAAGCTTCACTGAGGATATTTCTGTAAATAAATCAAAACTGCTTTGACATATCCCTGTGTTCCTCCATGCACACTTTTATTGACATTTCTGAAGTACAGAGTGAATAGCATCTAAAAATTATATCATACAACAAATTTTTATTTCTTTGGCAGTAATGTCTTTTAAAAATAGGAGAAAAAAGTGTGATTCTGTTGGCAAAAGACATTTACTCCTCTATTAAGATGTGTATATTAGTTGTCTGCAGCAGGGTGCAAACAGCTTCAAATAGAAGAGCTTGTGATATATATGTATATAACGTAAAAATGCTTATTTTATATGAGAAAGGAAGATTTCTAGAGGTAGCATAAAAAGAGCCACTCTAAGACTAGCTTCCAGACTTGCTTTATTGGATCTATTTTCTAACTACAAATTAAGCTGACATATGTCAAACTTTTTATTTTTTTATATGGCAGTCTACAAGAAATGTGTCATGCAAATTCTACAATGCTAAATACAGGGTAAATAACTGGGATTAAACACATTGGGAATTACAGATTACTATTAGGACCAGTAACAGCATAATATGTACATAGAGCCATATTATATTCTCATGTCTTCACAGTCATGTGCAAATATGACATATATGGCTTTCAATATTTTTAAAAAGAAAGTAAGACAATTGTACAGAATAATATATTTTAAAATGTTTAGGAGAATTTCACTTTTTTGTGAAACCTGTTTAATTTTTATTACATTGCGGTTAATTAGTTTCAACCTCAACACAGAGGTGTAGTTCAGGTATACTTCCAGGAGGGGTCACTGATTCCTAAGGCACAATATTACCACTAAACATTTTTAAATTAAAACATGCTTTTCTTTTTTGGTTATATGAAATAAGAAGTTACTGCTAGCTATAGAATAAGCTACTGATTGTACAAAATACAATGTTAAAGACTACTCTGCATGCTTATCTGGTGCACCATAAACATTAGCTAATCTGAAAACATTGTACAGCGCTGCATATTAAACATTTGGTTTCGGTAGTATTATTTTTCGTACATGTAGCAGAGCGTCATAAGGCTTCCGTGGAATAATA